GGGACAATTCAATAATCGCTGGATATTGGTGGGGACATGTCCCTTCCGTCCATGCCAAATCTATGCCCTTGAGAATGTAGTTGCACAACAAAGTTTAGCATTTTTGCTATTTTGTGTTACGAAATTCAAAAAGGATATGTTAGGTGAAAATAAAACATACAGTTCTATTTAATACTTCACAAATACTCGAAAAAAGGAAAGAAAGCTGCTCACTGACTTTCTGTAGGAAAAACATCTTAGAGCTCATATTTTGCTCCCACACAAAACACAAACAACTTTTAAAAAGCTAAAATAATTTTTTTTTATTGTTGTAAGTTGAAGTGTATTTCATTTGGATGCTATCTATCTTAATTTCATCTCTTTGTTCCAGGTTGTCATGATGGATGGACTGATCTGCCCCTTATCATAAATTCATGAAAGGAACTTATCAACATATTAGCAAACATTAATCATTATATTTATTTTATGATTTCATAGATGTCTGTCTGACATTTTTAGCAGCTCTCACTCGCTTTAATATTGTTGTATTTCAGATTCTCCTCTTATTGTAAATAATGTGGTTTCTAAAACGAGGCTGGTGGCTACAATTATTACAGTTCATCGCTGTACTGGGATCACTATGGATGCTTTCCCTACTTATTCCACTGAAAACAGGTAGACGTCCTGCCTACATCCTCAGGTATCAATGGCTAGAGTACACCAATATTGATGAGAGCCCAGAGAAAGTTTGCAACTGCTCAGCGATCCTGCAGGGAGAGAAGGAGGCATTGCTGAAAGCAAAATTACTGACTATCACCAAAGACTTCCAGAAGATTATTCAGATCCCTGATGAGTATTATATTAATGCAACCCAAAACTGCAGGTTTGTTGCTCTAAATGGGAGCTTTCAGTAACTCTTTAACTCTTAGTCATGATTTAAATACATGGCCTTCCAAAACAACATTACTTCTTCAAAACTGTGAATTTACAGGAAATTCCAAACAAGCAGGAAATACATAACATTCCCATTAAGCAAGGAAGAAGAGGAGTTTCCGCTGGCTTACTCAATGGTTGTACATCACAAGGTATGTTTTTTCTCTAATTTTGCAGTGGTCAAATTGGGAATTGATAAAATTCATAATGCTTAACATCTTTATTAGATTACATATACATACATAAATACACACACACACATATATGTACACACACACATATATGTGTGTGTGTACATAAATACACACACACAGGGACATCTTAGGAGTGCTAGAGCAAACTATAAATATAACAT